GTAACAAATGTCGCAACTATTGATCATTTCTGCTATATTACCATTCATATTGGGAAAATAGAAATCTCTTTTTAGGTGAAGCAGTGTTTCTTCAATTCCCCTGCGGTTACTGTCGTTATGGTAACGGTGGATAAGTGAATCCTGATGATCCTTCTCAATTATATCTTTTAAAAATGTTGTACTTTTAACGAACTTGTATGTTTGGTGGCGAAAGAACTTTGAAAACACATCTTGTACGCTTGTAAAAATATCATAGTTACAAAAAATTGCAGTTAGTTTATGAGGTTCAATATATGTTTTAAATATATGCAGTACAGATTTCTCGTTGAAATCTTCCTGCGCAACAATTAGCCTCATGTTGTTTTTAAATAAAGATTGAAATATTGGCGGCTGTTATTTTGTAAAACGTAAAGCGGAGGGTCATGCTGCATCGTTTAGATTTATATCTATTTGGATTCTGCTTAATGCGTCTGAATTTGTATTTTGTGTATATATACCTGTATGTGTGGATTCCAAGTTTGGTAATTCTAGCTCGGACATGGCTAAATCGACTCGGATTGTCACCCTGATCAAGAATATATATACTTTGTGGGGTCTGCCACGCCTTCTTCTGTGTGTTACATACATTCGCACAAAACTAGTATAGCCTTTCACCCTTTGGGTACAGGCTATAAAAACAGCAAACAGTGACTAGGACTACCAGCTGCGCCAGTTATGAAATGCCCCGTCAGTTCACACATTCCCTTCTTATTAATTACAATACAATTCCACATCAGAGAACTGCAACGAGTATGTTCGACCACCCTTGCTGAAAATTCAATCAAATCAGATCATTGCTTGGCAGCAAACGAGCTCGAATAAGTTGAGTACTCTCAGCATTTTTGATATGATCGAACTTGCATGAGCCATCGATCTATTTTTACGAACAAGCACCGGACTTGATTGGTTTGCTTTCGAACACACCAAGCTCTGTCTATTTGCTTATTGCGGGCGGTTCACACAAGTACCGGCCTTGATTGGTTTGCTTTCAAACAGTTCAGACTCGGTCACTTCGTTTTAGTCATTTTTTTAGTCCTGATCGAAACAAACCAGACTTGGTAGAATGAGCGTTTGATCGAACGAGTATAGTGAAGTTATTGCTCGAGTATTGTTTGGGTATTGCGTGAGTTATACTCGGGTATTACTCTAGTATTGCGCAGGTTTTACCCGAGTATGTCTCGAGGATTGCGTGGGTTTTACCCGAATATGACCGTATAAAAAATGCATGTACAAGGTGTGTTCAAATGTAAACAGGACTTTTAAAAAAAAACGGAACAAATGGTTTTTTCGGCAAAATCAATTTATTTTATTCAAAATAGTCTCCTTCTGCTTCAATACAGCTTTTTGCACGATCCAAAAGCATGTCGAACGAATGTTTTAGCTCGTTGGCCAGTATGCCAGTACAAGCCTTTTGAATGGCCTTTACGTCTGCATAACGCTTTCCTTCCATGGCTAAATGCATTTTTCCGAAAAGGTAAAAGTCGCACGGTGCCATATCAGGTGAATACGCGAGTGGTTAATGGTTAAAATGCGATTTTTGGTCAAATAATCGGTCAAAAGCGTCGATCGATGAGAGCAATTTTTGGTCATCAGTCAAATTGTGCGCAACAAACCGTGCACGCACTTTTCGTAAGCCCAAATGTTCGGTCAAAATGCGATAAATCGAGGTTTTGGAGATGTTCAATTCCATGTCCATCAATTTCAATGATGATTTCGGCTGATTTTTGATGAATTCACGCACAGTTTCGATGGAATTTTCGGTGATCACGAATTTTGATTGGCCCATATGTTGATCGTCATTTATGTCCTCACGACCACTTTGAAAACGTTGAAACCAGTCGTGCACTCTGCTACGAGATAGGCAATCATCGCCATAAACTTGTTTCATCAATTTCGGTAAAAGTTTTTCCAATTTTAAAACAAAATTTAATGTTGGCTCTTTGTTCGAAGCTCATTTTCGCACCGATAACACAAACATACTGACACTTAAAACGCAATAACTTCACTTCCAATCGATGAAATGTCATGAAATTCTCACTGGACAATCGATAAAGATAGCAAACTCTAACGCACCAGTCGACATATAGATAGTGCCCCCAGGGGCTCTAGATTCAAAAAGTCCTGTTTACTTTAGAACGCACCTTGTGTGTACATATATGAGGAAAAATGAACAAACTTGTCCTTTCTCGGGCTCAGGAGAATCTGTATACCAAGTTTGGTTATTCTAGCTCTTATACTTTCGGAGATCCTTGCGTTCATACAGACAGACAGACGGACATGGCTATATCGACTCGGCTTGTCATTCTGATCAAGAATATATATACTTTGTGGGGTGTACCAAGCCTCCTTCTGTGTGTTCCATGTGCACTCGCACAAAACTAATATACCCTTGTACCCTTTGGGTACAGGGTATAACAAGTAGAGAAGCTAAAGTCGGGTATCCCGACTTTTAAATACTCTATACATATGTGTAGAATAGTTATGCGTGTATGTGTGTGTCTGTGTATGTTTGAGTTCGATTCTCGTTCTCATTTACGCAGTTTCTATATAATACATTTAAATCAACATTTTGTCTCTGCGGGAATATGTTTTTACACCCTATATATAATTCCTGTAACGCACTCACCTGTCAGCAACAGCTGACCAATGACGATTACATTTGACTGACTAATTGTGTTTAATTCGTGTTTATACTCTGTACATGAAATGTACAAGAGTATATTAGGTTTGCGGGAGCTGAAAAATGTAACAGGCAGAAGGAGGCGTGGCAGACCCCACAAAGTATATATATTATTGATCAGCGTGACAAGACGAGTCGATCTAGCCCTGTCTGTCTGTCTGTCCGTCTGTCCGTCCGTATGAACACCTGGATCTCAGAGACTATTTGCACAAAGATGCGTTATGTGTGTATTCTATACGAGTTTGTTTTTTTTTTTTGATTTTCCCCCCCACTTCCCCCCTATGGGGGTTTTCCCGATTTTCCATTCGTATAATCGCCTATATCTCGGAGACTATAAGACCTAGGCACACCAAATTTTAGTCCAAGATGCCTTGTGTGAATACGCAGAAAATGTATATTTTGGAATTCCCCTCCCTCCCCCCTCTCCCCCGCAAATGCGATTTTCTCTAACTCCCGTAATTCTTGGAATTTCGAACTAAAAACCGATTTACCAAGAAGTTATAGCCATAAATATATTTGCTGCTGCAGCGCTGCTCAAGCGCTGCCCGCGGCTGTTGTTGATGTTGCTGTTTGGTTGACTGCGAAAATGCTTACACAGACACGAATAGATGCGCATAGGCATACATACACTCACACAGACGCAATTGCTATGTAAATGTGCAATTATACACCCTTTACGTGAGTTCGAATACCGAGAGAGGTAAAATCGATCCAATTTTTTTTTTCTTTTTTTATTTATTTTTTTTTATTTTCTATAATTATTGTAAACATATGTACAGAGTATTTCAAAGTCGGGACACCCGACTTTAGCTTTTTTACTTGTTTTGTTGATAAATTCCGTATTCAATTTTAGTAGTTACATCCAGTTAGAGCTTATGTGTCCGTGTGCCAAGTTGCATCAATTATGAAGAAAATTACATATAAATAAAATCGCTGCTCATGTGCTGCCTGCAGCTCTGCCGGCAGCGCTCCTCGCAGCTGTTGTTGTTGTTGCTGCTTTGGTTCAACTTTGTGCTGCATACATACAAGCATATAAACTCCCTGATGGAGATGTATGCTGTTAAAACTGAACATAAACATGTCTTCTAAGTATCTATTAAATAAATTTTCTTTATTAATTTAATTAATTAATTCAATTTTTTTTAATAATTTAATTTTAAACAAATTTAATTTTTTTAAATTTTTTTTGTGGAGAGTACAGGCTATTTTACTGTCGGGCTTGCTCGACTGTAGCGTTCTCTCTTGTTTTTATGACACAATTTTTAATTAAAACAAGAAAAGAATGCTAAAGTCGAGCAAGCTCAACTCTTAAATACCCGGTACACTTATGTGTGTATGCAAGTGTTGAATATTTTTATAGCCTGTACCCAAAGGGTGAAAGGCTATACTATACTAGTTTTGTGCGCATGTATGTAATACACAGAAGGAGGCGTGGCAGACCCCACAAAGTATATATATTTTTGATGAGGATGACAAGACGAGTCGATATACCCATGTCCGTCTGTCTGTATGAGCGCAAGGATCTCAGTAAGTACAAGAGCTAGGATAACCAAAATTGGTATCAAGGTTCCTATAAGCCCTAGGCAGATCGAGTTTGTTTATTTTTTCTGATACACCCCCCCCCCCACTCCCCCGCAATTCGTGTTTTTTTTACATAACTCCCGTAATTCTCGGAATTTTGAAATCATTTTTTTTGAAATTTTGGTAGGTACATCCAGTTAGTACTAATGTGTCCGTGTGCCAAATTTCATCATGATAGGTCAATTCTGAAGAAAGTTATAGCCATAAGTAAAATCGCTGCTCATGCGCTGCCTGCCTCTGTCGGCAGCGCTGCCCGCAGCTGTTGTTGTTGTTGCTGTTTTGGTTCAACTTTGTGTTGCATACATACACGCATATAAACACGCATATGTAGGTGATATAAATGTATGCTGTTAAAACTGAACATAAACATGTATTCTTATTTAATTTAATTCATTCATTCATTCATTTTTTTTAATAATTAATTTAAAAAAAAAAAATTTTTTTTTTTAATTTTTCTTTTTTGTGGAGAGTACAGGGTATTTTACTGTCGGGCTTGCCCGACTGTAGCGTTCTCTCTTGTTTTTTATTTAACTAAATTAATTAAAGTAATTTATTAAATTTTTTTAATAATTTTTTTTTTTTTTTGGCGGGGATGGGTTACAGGGTATTTAAGAGTTGAGCTCGCTCGACTTTAGCATTTCTTTCTTCATTAAGATGAGCTGTACACCAAATAAGTATCTATAATTATTTATCTTTTCAGAAAGCCAAGGTGTGGAATGGACTCAAAGTATTTTATATCTGGAAAAAGTACTATCACAGTACCCTCCAAACGAAAAATAAAGTTGAATGATTTGACGGACCAAAAATGTCTTTATTTGCAAACAAAACAACTATCGGGATGTTCTATTGAAGAGGAACGAAAAAAATTGCCAGTTTTTAATTGTCGTGACAGAATTTTGAAGGAATTAGAAACGAACGACACATTATTAATAATGGGTGAGACAGGCTCGGGAAAGACAACACAGATCCCACAATTTCTACTTTATTCAGCCCATGCGCGTAACGGTGTTATTGCAGTCACGCAACCTAGGCGAGTTGCCGCTATTACAATTGCTAAGCGGGTTGCACAAGAGTTGTCAACCACTGTTGGTGACATCGTCGGTTACACCGTACGATTCGAAGATATGACATCACATAAAACTCGAATCAGATTTTTGACAGATGGCGTTTTATTACGTGAAGCTATATGTGATCGACTTCTACGGAAATATTCTATAATTATGTTAGACGAAGCTCATGAGCGCACTGTGAATACTGATGTTCTTCTTGGAATAGTTAAAGAAGCTCAACACAAAAGATGTATTCAAAAACTACCTGGATTAAAACTTATAATTACCTCAGCAACAATGGATATAGATCATTTTGGAAAATACTTAAATGTGCGTGGAATGTATTTAGAAGGTCGAACTCATTCAGTTCGTGTGCTGAACACAAAAGAGCATCAAGCAGACTATATGCATGCAGTACTAGTTACCGTTTTTGAAGTTCATCGTACTACTCCAATCAAGTATGTATTCTTATTGAATAAAACGCTGCATATGTTATAAGTTTCCATTATGCAGATGTATCACCAGATTTTAGCAATTGCTTTGTTTACACAGCCCATGAAGCTTTTGAGCTTCCATAGCTTGAATGTTTCGATTAGAGCTAATTAGGAACGTTGACACGAGTATTAGTTTGTCTGACCGCCTCTACGAGCCCAGGCAAACTGAGGTGTTCATATTTAATGTGTTTTCCTGCATTGCATCCATCTTCCCCCTTTAGTTGGTTTTATAATCTGTATGAAACATGCAAATGTACTTGTAGGGTGATAGATGCTGCACCTATTCGACAGCCTTATATAGTGCGCGAAATAATTAGCTGGGACAAAGGACATTATATTGTCCAAACAACAAAGGAATGCTTAAGTCAAGCGGTCTCAACTCTTAAATACCACATACCCCCCCCCCCCCCCCCCCCCAAAAAAAAAAAAAAAAAATTAATGAAAAAAATGTAATTAATTAATTTAATCCATATACAAGGTGTGTTCCAAAGTAAACAGGACTTTTTGAATCTAGCGCCCCCCGGTAGCGCTATCTATATGTTGACTGGTGCGTTAGAATCTGCTATCTTTATCGATTGTCCATGACATTTCATCGATTGGAAGTAAAGTTATTGCATTAAATTTTGTTTTAAAATTGGTAAAACTTTTACCGAAACGTTTCAATTGATGGAACAAGTTTATGGCGATAATTGCCTATCCCGTAGCAGAGTGCACGAGTGGTTTCAACGTTTTCAAAGTGGGCTCGTCCGGTGCCTTCCATTCAGAACTCTGGCGTTTCGTTCCGGGATCATATTGGAAACACCAGGATGGAAGTTTTTGACCTCTTTAATGATTTCCTTCAAATGTTGGATTCTGAGCAATATTTCGTCAGTCAATTTGTGCGGAACAAACCGTGCACACACCTTTCGTAAGCCCAAATGTTCGGTCAAAATGCGATAAATCGATGTTTTGGAAATGTTCAATTCCATTTCCATCAATTTCATTTCGGCTGATTTTTGATGAATTCACGCACAGTTTCGATGGAATTTTCGGTGATCACGAATTTTGATTGGCCCAATTAAATTAAAATTAAAAAAACAAGAAAGGAATGCTAAGGTGAACGAGAATAAAAAAAAACAAGAGAGAATGCTACAGTCGAGCAAGCCCGACAGTGTAATACCCTGTACCCAGGTAAACTTCCGTCACTGAGTTATATGCGCCCATAGCAGCAGCAAAAAGAGGAAGAAGAAGAGCGAACTTGTCGCTGCAGTTTGGGGGGTTGTACTGGCGACAATTTGTTTTGCTAATAACTTTTCTTAGAATTGACCGAATTGAATAGAATTTTAAACAACAGTAGACAATTATATATAAATTATGTGTATAAAGTTTGGTTAAGGGGGGGGAAGGGGGGGGGGGGTTTTGAATTAAAAAAAAATAAACTCGTCCTTTCTCGGACCTAGGAGAATCTGGATGCCAACTTTGGTTATTCTAGCTTTTATAGTTTCTGAGATCCTTCCGTTCATCCAGACGGACAGACGGGCGGACATGTCTAGATCGATTTCTCTTGTCATGCTGATTCAGAATATATATACTTTATGGGGTCGGAGATGCTTCCTTCTGCATGTTACATACTTTGCACAAACCTAATATACCCTTTTTACCCTACGGGTACAGGGTATACAAATGCAGAACATGTGTATTTGAGATATTCACGGCTTCTTCCACAACAACTCTCCATAACTGCTGTAAAAAAATCATCCAGGCGTTCATCGAGACGGACAGACTTCATGCAGTGGAATATGCTTCCTTCTGCCCGTAACATACTTTGCACAAACCTAATATATCCTTTTTGCACTACGGGTACAGGGTATTAAAACGGTGTTTCAATCTTCTATCAAACAGTCAGCGCTTTGGGGTTCTCGTTGCATTATATATTGCTACCAACAATTAGCACCAATTGATACGAGACCAGCCTTTTTCTAAAATATTGTTCAGTATCGAAGGCGAACAAATCTTTCTAACGAATAAATCCATATATAATATTGAATGTATGATAGTTTGTCGGAATCCTTAGAATTCTTTTACATGTGGACGACCACCACATAATAAGTCAACACATTCTGATTACGCTAAAAATGTCAAGTTTTACAATACAAATGTCTGATAAGTTCTACCATTTTTATTTTAAACCTTATCAAAAATCTATTTCAGTCATGACATTTTAATATTCTTAACTGGAAAAGAAGAAATTGAGGTATTGGCACAACAAATACGTCAACTGGCAAAGGTAAGTGCACGAGTTCATTTTTAAAATTAATACCATCAGTACCCATGGCCCATTGCAAATTTCAAAGTTTTTATACCCTATACCCAAAGTGTATATTAGTGTGTAACAAACAGTATACATAGTCTGTGCAAGAGAAAAGGTGAATTTTGAATTTATTATACTCTGTACATGAAATGTACAGAAGTATATTAGGTTTGCGGGAGCTGAAAAATGTAACAGGCAGAAGGAGGCGTGGCAGACCCCAGAAAGTATATATATTCTTGATCAGCATGACGAGACGAGTCGATCTAACGCTGTCTGTCTGTCTGTCCGTCCGTCCGTATGAACACCTGGATCTCAGAGACTATAAGAGATAGAGACACCAAATTTTGCACAAAAATGCCTTATGTGTGTACGCTGTGCAAATTTGTTTTGTGTTTTTGATTTTCGCCCCCATTTCCCCCCTATGGGGGTTTTCCCGATTTTCCATTCGTATAATCGCCTATATCTCGGAGACTATAAGACCTAGGAACACCAATTTAGTCCCACATCCCTTATGTCCCACATCCCTTATGTGAATACGCAGAAAATGAATATTTTGGAATTTCCCTCCCTCCCCCCTCTCCCATGCGCATCGCAATTTTCTCAAACTCCCGTAATTCTTGGAATTTCGAACTAAAATTTTGGAAATACCCCCAGTTGGTTATTATGTGTCCGTATGCCAAATTTCACTATGATAGACATACATGTATGCCTATGCGCATCTATTCGTGTCTGTGTAAGCATTTTCGCAGTCAACCAAACAGCAACATCAACAACAGCCGCGGGCAGCGCTTGAGCAGCGCTGCAGCAGCAAATATATTTATGGCTTTAAATTCTCGTTAAATCGGAGACGCAATTGCTATGTAAATGTGCAATTATAAACCCTTTACGTGAGTTCGAATACCGAGAAAGGTGAAATCGATCAAAATTTTTTTTTATTTTCTTAATTTTTTTATTTTCTATAATTATTGTAAACATATGTGAGTATTTCAAAGTCGGGACACCCGACTTTAGCTTTTTTGCTTGTTTTTTAAAAGAATTTATTTATCAATATACATTTGTCCCCTTCAAAGTAATCCCCCTCAGATATAATGAACTTATCCTTCCTTCCTTATCGTGATGCAAAATACAACACTTGTATATTCTTGATCAGGGTGACAAGTCAAGTTTCTTAAAGCCATGTCCGTCTGTGTGAGCGCAAAAATCTCAGAAGGTACAAGAGCTAGAATCACCAAACTAGGTATCCAAATTAGATTAAGCCCTAGGCAGGTCCAGTTTGTTTTTTATTCTGATACACCCCCACTCCCTTGCTATTTGTTATTTTCCATAACTCTTGTTATTCTTAGAATTTTGGGCTTAAATTTGCTAATACCATCTCGTTATGGATTATGTGTTTTTGTATGTCAAGTTTCATCATGATAGGCCAATTATGAAGAAAGTTATAGCCATAAATATTATCTCCGCCAAAGCTCTGCCCACAGCTGTTGTTGCTGCTTTGTCTGATGTTATGCACCCTTGACGTGAGTTCGAAAGCAAAAGAAGGTAGAAGGGAAATTTCCATCATGTTTTAATAAGTAGCGCCAGCAGATGCAAAAGACGAGTGCCAAAAACAAAATACGTGCGTTTGTCGCCAGCCAATGCTCGAATTTTCCAAAAGCCTCTCTTAGTGCGCACCCACACTATTATGGATACTATGAAAGGATACTTGAGTTAAAATTTCAGCTTCCTAGCTTTTACCGTTTGGGCTGTACGTTGATCACCAATCAGTCAGGACAAACTGTTTGATATATATGTGTATATATGTTTGGATAAGTGCAAGAAAGGGGAATAATTATAGTAGTATATCCTAATTTTAAATTCACATTTGTGACTTTTTGTGCCTTATTGAGTCAATACGATCACGCACGATCTCGGAATATGGAAGACGGCACGAGGTCAATGCCGTGCAGGGATGAGCCACGATCAAAAAGCGCTGATAATCAGTGTTGCCAACTTTTTAGAAGGAAAAAAAAGCTGATTTTGACGTGAAGGAGAGTGAAATAAAGCTAAAAATGTTTGCAAAAAATCCTAATAAAAAGCTAAGAAGAAGATATGCTTAGAAAAATGTATTTTCATCTTGATGAACATTTTAAATGATATTTACCTATTTCAACATGTGTTCTTCAAAAGCGGTCAATCTGCGCTATTGCTTTTTGCTGAGCAAGAAAAAGGCTGCTTCTTTCTTCGGTAGCTTTACAAAACTAATTTTGTTTGTCCCATAGAAAGTCTGTGTTTCTTTGTAAGTGCGCCAAACATCACGGCATTTATCATTGCATTCTTTCGGCATTCCCACCTTTACAAATTAAGCGCATTTTGAGAAAAAGATGGCTTAAACTAGTGATGTCATGTATAACCACAACAGTTGATCATCAATACATTGTTCTATTTTCAAAAGCGAGCGCTATTACTGTCACAAGCGAGCGGAAAACAGAATTAGTACATAAGTCAATTTTTTTTATTAACCACAAATAAACATATATTTGTTGGCCAAATTACAAAATGCGGAAAAAAAGCTAAATGCATTTTTAAAAAGGCATAATTTCCGCTTCCCGTAATTTGGATTATTTTCCTGCAATCTCATTTCAAAAACAAGAGAGCCCGACAGTGTAATACCCTGTACCTAGGTAAACTTCCGTCACTGAGTTATATGTGCCCATAGTAGCAGCAAAAAGAGGAAGAAGAAGAGCGAACTTGTTGCAGTAGTTTGGGGGGGGTTGCACTGGAGAGAATTTGTTTCGCTAATAACTTTTCTTAGAATTGAAATTTTAAACAACAGTAGATAATTATATATTAATTATGTGTTCAAAATTTGGTTTAGGTAGCATTTGAAATGTGGACGCTATTGACTGTAGCGGGGGAAAATTAAAAAAAAAATACAATAAACTCGTCCTTTCTCGGACCTAGGAGAATCTGGATGCCAACTTTGGTTAGTCTAGCTTTTATAGTTTCTGAGATCCTTGCGTTCATCCAGACGGACGGACATGTCTAGATCGATTTCTCTCGTCATGCTGATTCAGAATATATACACTTGGAGATGCTTCCTCCTGCATGTTACATACTTTGCACAAACCTAGTATACTCTTTTTACCCTACGGTTACAGGGTATAACAACCGTTTGACGGGGAAAAAGGCAAATTGGCAACACTGCTGACAATGCCCAGCGTCTATGTAAATGTTTGAATGCCTATGCGCGTCTATTCGTGTCTGTGTAAACATGTTTGCATCAACAACAGCTGCGGGCAGCGCGTGGGCAGCAAATATATTAATGGCTATAACTTCATGCTAAATCGGTCTATCATGATGAAACTTGGCATACGGACACATAATCACTTTGCAAAATTTAAGTTCGAAATTCCAAGAATTACGGGAGTTACGATTTGCGTGGGAGAGGGGGGATGGAGGGAAATTCCAAAATACACATTTTCTGCGTATTCACATAAGGTGTTATAGTCTCCGAGATATAGGCGATATACGAATGGAAAATAGGGAAAACTCCCATAGGGGGAAGTGGGGGGAAAATTAAAAAAAAATAAAACAAACTCGTATAGCGTAAACACATAAGGCATCTTTGTGCAAAGTTTGGTGTCTCTATCTCTTATAGTGTCTGAGATCCAGACGGACAGACAGACAGACAGGGCTAGATCGACTCGTCTCGTCATACTGATCAAGAATATATATACTTGGTGGGGTCTGACACGCCTCTCTCGTGTCTCTGCGTGCTTATATGCGTGTACGTATGAAGTACAAAGTTGAACCAAAGCAGCAACAACAACAGCTGCGGACATACCTGCAGGCAGTGCATGAGCAGCGATTATTTATGGCTATAACTTTCTTCAGAATTGACCAATAATGATGAAATTTAACGTACGGATTCATTATCACTAACTGGATGTATATGTCAAATTTGAGTTAAAAATTCCATTCCAGAATTCCGGGAGCTATGAAAAAGACGAATTGCGGAGGGGTGGGGTGTGCATCAAAAAAAAAAAAAAAACTCGATCTGCCTAGGGATTAGGGGAACCTGAATGCCAAGTTTGGTACTTGCTGAGATGGCTGCGCTCATACAGACAGACGTACGGTCGGACGGACGGACATGGCTATATCGACTTGTCTTGTCATCCTGATCAATAGTTTATGTACTTTGTGGGGTCTGCCACACCTCCTTCTTTGTGTTACATACATTCGCATAAAACTAGTATATAATTACATTTAAAAATGTTTAATAGTTTTAAATTAACATTTCTTTCCCTGTCAGTGCAAGACGTATGTTCATATATATATACCAGAGAACTGCAACGAGTACTACATTTTCGGTCATACTCGAGTATTTACCCATACTCGGTATGATTATTTCATTGGGGAATCGTGACAAGCAATGACTGATTGTGAAAGAACACTCAGTTCGAATCAAAAATGCAAACACTCAGAAGCAAGGTTCGTAAAATGCGAGCAAAACTCATTCGGACACGAGAAATTTTACCGCGGGTCACAGTGATTAGCTGCCGACTGACTCAGAGGGTCGTCTGAGCCGTCTGGCAGAGACCATGAGGTCGTGCGTGTCGGCCGTCGACAGCAGCTGAGAATCGTACGAGCTGCGCTGCAGAAGCCGAGCGCTCGCTCGTGGCCACGAATGAGCGCTAGGCTTTTCCTGCCGGCTTGTACGATACTTTGCTGCTGTCGACAACGACCCACGATACCCACGGGCTCTGCCGGCTGCGACCCACTAAAACCCGCGGCAGAAACAGAAACATTTTACGAACCCTGCTTAGAAGTGAGCGGTTGTGATCGAAACTTGTTGCATGAATACAAGCAATGACCGGTTGTGAGCGAGCGCTCACCAACCAGTCAGTTCGAATTGAAACTGCAAAGACTCAGAAAGAGCGGTGGTGACCGAAACTTTTTGCCTGTGTGCAAGCAATGATCGAACGTTGCATTAATTA